CAACTTCGATCCACAATGACAGAGAGACAGAATACAAGTCTCAAAATTCACCACTTTTTAAGGGCAAGGCCTGATTGACACAGCTGAATTCATGTAATTTCTTCCGAATATATTAAAGCAAAACAACAATAAAGACAGCTTTGTTTTTACAAACAAATGTCTCCACGTCTAGAACCAGGGCTCACTGGTGCAGCATACCAATACCATGTAAAGAATGCACACGATGGAATGTGCAATTTTAGTTCCAGTACAAATGTAAATGTATGCATTTCTCTGAAATTCACTGTAAAAAGTACAGTGCTCAAATACAATGAAGGACCCAGAAATGACTTCATGTACACATCGCTGGGTCGCACGCAATGGGTTAAAGGAAACTGGGTTCCCTGATGGTGTGCACCCACAGCAAACAAGACCAGCCCCTACTTTGACAATGGGCCCACTCCATATCAAGTAGCAGCTCACTGGCAACAGTCAATAACTACAGTAAAAATCACACAGGACACTTTTCTTCCTTATTTCTTTGTTGCACGCCCCCAGTCATTCCTGAAATACATGGCTTCTAAATTTACAGAGAGAGTGCAAAGTACAGTACGAGCACATTCTTGTGTAGGCTTGCAGCTGATGTGCACTGTACCAACGTACTGGTAGATTCTCTCAATTTTGACAGCCAACTTTACATTGTATGCAGTGATATCCACCAAGCCATGGATAAAATTATATCTTTACCATCAATTTCAAAATCTTCCAGTCTCTTTCATCACGAAATTGCTTGTGACTCACAAAACTACATGTACACGGTTCAACCCACAATATTATTTCTAAAACACATAAGCACAATTGCACACCACGTATGAAATTTGAAAGGCAACTTTAATCAACAGTATCTTCACCTTTCAAAGCAGATCTGTGCACCATTTTCCGACATGCACTTGCTGTCTCTTAACAATTCCACGTAACCTTTACAAGCTAGGTCCCAATAGGAGAATTTGAAACAGCTAAAGTTGTATGGTACATGTATGTATCCGCGGGTATAAATGTGCACTTTGGGAGCCACATACATGTACTTGTGCTTTTTAAGCTGTGCAAAATACGGTATTATATTTCTTCTTGCCAATTGCTCAGGATTACAGCCAAAGCCTGTACGTGCCATTTGGCTACCGTCACAACTGACAGCTGGAACAAGTGACCAGTATGAACTGTAAAATAATAGGAGTTGTAGGAATTAATGACAATGGTGAAAAAAACCTACTGATACTGTCACAACCCCCCCGCCCCTTCTGGAATTATTTGTGTACATGTACATGTACAGTACTGTGGAAAAGTGATTATAGTGTCAAAATGTTGGTGTATCATGTAAAGAATGTTGGACAAGATGAAGTACATGTAGCCAATGTCAGTGTCAGCAATTTAAAGTAAGGACCATTGCCAACTATGTACATATACACGTACAATGTACAGTACTGCAGTCCATTTTGTCCGGTAGTGAAGGGTTCATTCTGACAATGTACAGGTAGCCTACAGTACTCAACAAGTGGTTGCCACTCCATTTTGCCTATACATTTGAAACCCCAAAATAGATAACCTGTAAAAGAATGAAGTGTAATGGTGAACGAACATGTAACTATGCACTCTACCAGTATGACTCCCCTTTTTTGACAAGAGGATTGCCGAATTCAGAACTGTGGCAAAGCAACATGTGACATATCCATGTAAGTCATTTATGCTTAACCCCATGTCATTGTCAGTATCAAGCCCGAAGTAAAAATAAGGAAGTGCAAACAGGTACATGTACATGTACATACCCCATCATACACACATGTATGTATACAATAGTATACATTTGATGAGTTGTAAAACCTGAACATATCAGAGCACAATACTCCTCTAATGTCGGTAGCCCCTAGGCACTGTATCCCTGGCTCTATGTTTGAATTGGCTCCAAATATGGGAGGCAGACCTGTGTATCCATACATGTACATGTTGCTACTTCATGTAGTCATATGGTACAATACATAATCGTATGTACATATGTGTATGCATGTAACATAAAAGAACAAGAAACTACACGTACTTTGTGGGAAATTCCAACAAAGGCTAAAGGGAGTAACTGTATGATTACAGTGCTTAGATGAATAACTGTTGTTGATGAGCATTCCAGATGAAAGACAACTACATTGACTACATGCAACAATGTTAAAGCACCTTTTATGTACCAGTACATGTGTGTAATTTGGGGTTATAGGTTTCCTTATGGGTGCCAGGGCACATACATATACATGTATATGTGCTTCAATATGGTGACCAGTTCCAGCACATCCTGTAATGCACACCACTACTGCTCAAGTTGGTGTTGGACTGTCACCAAATGATGTCCTGTGGTATTTACTCATGTAGAGTACATGTATATGTAGAACCTTCTTTGTTCAAAACCTTCCAACAACACAATTAGCTTTTAAGATTCCAAGCTTTGCTGGACAGGGAAGTACAAGTGTACTCTCAAAGGTCTGCAGTGTCATGATCTCTTTTCTCAGTGTGGTGATCAAAACCTTGGAATATAACACATGGGACAAGATATCCACTTTCCTTGCTGAGTAATCCACCCAATGACAATTTGAATAAAACTAGTTTTGCAAGTCACTCTTGCCTGTTATTGGCATATGAACAAAGTACAGAAAGTACCACGCTCAAGACATGTATGGAAGAATACCAGGAAAGAAGGGTTGTCTTTTGGAAATGCAAGGCAATACACAATAGACGTCATGTAGACATGAAGCATTCCGCTCAAGCTGAACAAATACAGTTACATCAGTGCATGTACTAGAACACATATGTTTATGTACCGTAAAACAAGTAACATTTTAGTATCTGCCCTGAGGTGAAGCACACCCTCCCCTGTTAAAGAAAGATAGACAGGTTCAAAGTTTTCAAACCAGGTTCTTGCACGCATTCAGCATGCACACGAAAACCATACATTCCAGAATAGATTGGTTGCACGTACTGTCTGCGTGCCTCACGTCAAACGCACATAAATCTGCATGTCTACACGGTGAGTTCGTACCAAAGGACTGCCAATTTCATTTAAAAAGAAGACCCTCTTTTGTTCCCACTCAAAACGGATAACATGCTGTACAAAAAGTGTACATACACAAATTTATACACACATATCCTGAAAAATGTATCCTTGTGGAGACATTGTTTTGTTCTCTTACACTTGAGTGTATAAAAACGTTTTCAAAATGCTCTCATTTGAACCAGAGTTACATGTACTTTCCTGGATTGAATTACAAGTACTTTCCTGGATTGAAATTTTAATGGAATGTCTCTAATATAATTTTGGAGACCTTGTCATCTTTAGAATTCCCTTGTAGAGACTTTTTCCACCCACTCCCACCAGATTTCAAATCACATTGACTCAAATCTACCATACCTGTGTACACATGCATTATCACCTTGATTTCAACTCAAAATGTGGATACCAAAAGCCCTGAAAAGCTTTGAGCCTTTTTGTTTTGTTTTCATCATTTTCAAAAGTGTTCAAATTACACACTTACTTCAGTACATTTACAATGGGTATGGGGGGGCTGAGGGCAATTAATGCACAGTACACTGTATGTTTTTCAAGACTACTAAAAATAATAATACCTACTGCAAGTGATCACTTTTCCCTTTCTAATATGTAGGGTAAAAAATGTACATGTACATGTACAGGTAATAGCTTCTCTTGGTGAGAGCTGTTCCTATTGTACATCTGTCCAGACAGATGGGCAGTCCTCCAATTATTTTGTACAGGGAATTACTCATGAGTGATGAAAAAATGAGGCATGAGTCATGACTGTCACCCAAGTGACTCAAACCTACCCTGGAGCAGAGGGCTTGCCTCCTTGAACACTATGAGCTTGAAGGGGACAGCTGGCTAGTTCAAATCTCTGGGAGCAGCAATACTGAATGCAGTCCGAGCAACTGGGGTTGTGGGGGTGAGGGAGGGTGTGGCACATCCCACCCCCCCAAAAAAAGCAAATGCCTTTGCCATGCCACTACATGGATGGGGTAAACTCACCAACTACCAGATACACATACATGTACATGCGACTTCTGTGTGGATTTGAATTTGCAAAGCCTGCTCTCCAGAAAAACGATCAGAATTCGGGTGAAAAGAAGTTTTCAATATGGACCTGCTTAATTTCACGTGAAAAAAATTCTCTTTCTACTTTTATTTCTTTGTAAAAAAGTTACAAAAACACTGTGCCAAGATCTGCATCTGACTGCAATGGAAATCTTGAAATTACACAGACGTTTTTATCATGCTCCGTATCGTTAATAATGCCCTAAAAAAAGGCATAATTCAATCAAAGTTGTCATTTAGTGTCAATATTGATTGGATGTCCAACACCCATCATGACTGCACATTGATCACTTATAAGTTTTCTACATTGTACATAAACAGTACATCATTAAACTGGTTCTCTTTTGTGTTTAGTCTATACGGTAAAACTTTACACTCTACTGACTTTTTGAAAACACTCACAGGAAAAGACTTTAATTCAACTGCAAAAAGAAAAAAGCTGATGTGACGAAGGATCCTCAACAAGAAATTTACATCAGAGTACTATAATTTCATTTAAACGGATTCACAACAAAAATGTTGAAAACACTTGCATGCACAAATTTATCACTCCGTGTACTCCATGATATAACAAGGAACAGGCTTAGCCAGGCATCGTAGGAAATCCTGATTATAAACATGTTAAATTTTTGCCACTTATCACCATGTTAACTATAAAAATGTGGCGCGCGCAGAGGTTCCCAGTGGCAAGTTGATTAGACTGAACGCGAATGACCTCATACTTAATTTACACGGGAACTAGACCTAGGCTACACGTACATTACAAGCATTATGTGTGTAGTCACACTGCACGTAGCTAGACCGGCAGCTGCAGTCAACAAGTTGTGTGAAATTCAGATAGTCGACTAACTTCGACAACACTGGCCCTAATACTCACCCCTTGCGTCTGCCTCATACCTCAGCTAGAATTGTATCTCAAGGCACCACAGCAGACCCAAGCAGAAGCACATTCGTCGGAAAGACATGACGGTAACACTTTACCGGACCACGTATATGTAGTACTACTAGGCTCCTGCGGTACACCTGTTACTCGAGTACTCCTATTAGGTACAGCTTGTAGATACAGTCTGAGCCCCAGCTCGCTTGTTTGCATTAATATCGAGTCGGGCACTCGATTATCCCCCGAAAAGTGTTTAGTCATGTGACCTTGACTTTTGCAAAATGCTCGCGTTACAACCTTTTTTAAAAAGAAGAAATCGACCTTTTTTAAGAGTTCGTGCTTGTTCGTGTTCGTTCACCATAAAAACCTAGGTACGGTAAATGCCAGTTGGTTCGTCAGTGGAATCGTGGGGTGAGGAAATAAAAAACCTCATTCTAGAAGGTCACCTTTTGTCCAAAATTCTAAGGATTGTATTTGACACGTTGCACATTTTAGTTTCCCGCTCGTTGGTCGTGATTTATTGCCGTGTTTTCTCGGGGAACAAACCTATTATTAATTGCTGCTTAAAGGTTATGTTAGTGAGGTTGACTTTATTGGCGCATGGCATCAATCGTGCCGGGGAGGGATTGATGGGCGATAAAATAATTATGCGAAAGGGTCGCTTTGAAAGTAACGGTTTTTTTTTCCGAAGAGTTTGGGCCATTTGCAAATCTTGTTTCATGTTTCAATTATATTTATCACGTATTGAATATGATCAAAAATTTCAAAAATACGTTTTACTTATACTTACCTTTTGTTTCATTTCTGTTTTGTGGAAAAGACTGTGGTCACCTTGTATAAACGTGCTGGAGATCTTTTCAGAACAGCGCTAGTCTTTGAGAATCATGCATTACAAAAGAATGGAGATCTGATGGCTGAGATCGCTCCTTTCCGCTCGATGGACCGAAAGCGCTGCAGTGTGGTCGATCAATCATGCAGTTCAGTCATATCGTGCCCATCATAATCTAAAAATTGCGTAACCGCTAACAATACAACTTAATAACAAAATGTGCCGCTTGAAAACAATATTTCAAAGACGCGTATTTCGGAAATTCTTAGTACCGTGGTATTGCTCGTAACACCTGTGAGTACATGTGGTGATGTATTTGTGACATTTGCGGGGTTTCGGAATAATAAGAAATGAAATCATTGGCAAATCTTTTCCATCTCACACTGACAGGATGCCGAACCATGATTTATATTTTTAATATTCTTTATTTACCAGTTCGTTTCTTTTTTGTCAAATGTACAATTATGGCAACAACTTGTATCTGTTATCGCATAAGCCAATTTCAAATCGGCTTTCCTTGGCTACGCGAAACAATTCTTAAACAGTGGGTTTAAAATTACAATCAAGGCACATTTCTGAAAAAAGGACTTATTGTCTCAAAGTATGGAAACAAAGGGTATATAAAGACAAAATAATTAAGTACAATTATAAAATATATATCACTGCTGACAAAAAAACAAAGATTATTTTAACATCCTTGGAAACAGTGAAGTGGCGGATCTCCGGGGATGGGGCTAATGAACTCCCTTATACATGTACTTCAAAGAGCCATTTCCTCTATTTTTAAAGATAATCGAGGGGCCACTGGGAGACTCTTTCATGGACCTTCCATCTCCTGAGAAGTGCGTAAATTTAGCTTCGGCATATCAGAGAAAATTCAGAACGATGACATATCCTCAAGTCCCCCCCCCCAAAAAAAAGATTGAAGTCGGGATCCACCTTTTGGTATGTCCAAGTTAGTATCCAAGTATATGCGCGTTTGACGCGGAGCACGCTGTGTACGCATAAGCGACGTAATTAATTTACTCCGGCATGTATGGTCTTTGCGTACTACCCGGTACACGCAGAACGCGTGCAAGAACCCGCTTATAACCACCTGTCTTTCTTTCGCCGATTGATGGTGCACTTCAGCTCGGGGCGGGTACTCAGCTTCGTCTCCAAAACCAACGAACCGACCCATGAACAACAAACTGAGCTGTTCGTGAACACACGGGAACAAGCCGCCCGAACTCGGCCACCGGGTTGCACTACACCTAATACGCGCCCATAGAAAACGTTGCAAAATTTGACCGAAATAGCGCCGCCTGTTGGCTCTCGGGAAAAGGTTGGCCTCCGTTTTCTTACTGGAAATTCAAGATTATGCCCAGGGTATCACTATATTCCATCAAGTGGTAGCCACGAATGTTTTTACCTGCCCTTCCCCGAATATACCCCTAAAATAGTAGTAAAACCATGCGCTCAGCTCTGAATGTAGCCGCTCGCCTCTATCCAAAATAGGCCCGCAATTTGGGGCTTTTTGGTGAAAGAAATACCCCGAACTGGAAACTACCAGTCTCAAATTTGGGATTTATAGAAACATTATTATGATCCCTCCTGATTTTGGTATGTCCTATTTTAAAACCCCGTGGGATCACAAAATATTAATGAGCTCGCGCAGAAATACAACAATTTGGTGGAATGCACCAATTATGCTATTCGCTCTGAGATGTGCACGCTGCCCTCATAGGCATGCAGATCCTCGAGCTGGTAGCTTTACACAAATGACTGGTTCGGTGATTCGCGTGATGTTGCTTAGTAATTTTACGCGTGCTGCGTCAGTTCTTACACCATGCGATAGGCCAATGTTTCAAAAGGCCGTGTTGAAGTATTCTGACGCGATTGTACAAGTGTCCAGATCGAGGTTCTGCATGCCTATGGCGGCAGCGTGCAAAGAGCGAATAATTATATAAAAACTAAAGCGCTGACTCATGTACAAAGTGATGTCTGCCGGGCGCGTCCATGTTTGTGCACAAACCTGGAATTTTGGACGCTTTTGTACGGCCATTTGCATATCTGCGTCTGTCTTCTAAAACGAAACGTCAATAAAGCCGACACGCAAACAACCTGAACGCACAATCAGTAAATGAGCGTTTCCTTTTGCTCTTCGACAAAACAACACAAACGCGTGTGCGTATGCGCTGCACATGAATTTTGCCGTGACTTTTTAATCAAATTTTATCGGTTCACGATGTGCATGACAGCCGCCGCTCCATGGCCGTCAACTCACTTGACACTGACTTAAGGGAACGACTTTTTACTTTAGCTTAACTATAGTCACCGAAAGACAGTCCTCAAAGACATGCGTACGAAATCGGACGACCTTGCTCGAATCGAATGTTAGGGACACGTTCGTTTTTGTTCTAAACTAATCAGTAGGCCTATGCATGTAAATCGTGCTTTATAAAGAACCTAAAGTGCGCGCTACGTATTCTACGTACGCAGTACTCGTGTGCAGACGTTGACGCGCAGCCGCCATTGCCATTGTGGGCGGAAGTTAAGTGAGAGCTCGAACGAGTTGTTTCCACTTAGACTTCGGATTTCGTTGCTTCCAGTCAGAGCTTGAACATGCGATTTCAAACGCTACTTCAAAATGACTGGAACCAGTGAAACGCAAATCTACGCGGAATCCACTCGTTTTGAAAACGCTAGGCTATTCGAAGATGATGACATTGAGTTTCCTAAAGTCGACGCAGAACCGTTTCGCCCCCGGGCGGCATCTTCAAATCCTTTAATGAATATCCTACAGTATTAAAAATGCCAATCCTAACAAGCTGCGGACTTCGCCCATGTTCTGCGGCTGCTCATTCATAGTTTTACCTGCAATTGTAATGACCCGTCCATACTTCGGCTATAAATCATGAAAGTAATAGGTCACACAGCGAATTTCCAGAACCTTGGCGCAGTCCGCCTATGGGGATTTTACATGAGGCCCTCTTTTTGCGTTCTATATTTTTTGGAAGAATGATTCTTAACTGAAACCACCTCATGAAACACTCATGTTGAAATTTGACCTTTGTCTTCCTCAAGTTATTATGAAAGGTTACCTTAATATGCGGGTAAAAACGAATTTCATTAACTACTATTCACTTTCGACAATATCGTTCCTAGGTCTCCTTATTTATACACGTTTGTTTTCACTCCGTGTTCTTACATCAAAACGAGACCGTGCAATGCTATTATTATAATTATTTAACAAATTGCACTCGATGGGTTCTAGATTCAGTCGAATTAACCTGACGCAGTCAGCAAAGGCTTAATTGAACATTAGAATCTTTCGTGCAAGCCGATTATCGTTTTAACTTTATTTCCTTATAATTCAAAGCAGTAATTTAAATATTTTGATATGTTTTTATTTTTGATTTTATCGATAGACTAACATAAAGTATAATTCCGCCACTGTAAATCTGCGTACGAGACTATCGAATTTCAGTGTTCTTCATATTTTACATTTTTGGAAGTGATTGGTCAAAGTTTGGCAGGTTGTTTCTCTTCTAGGTCTGGTAATCTTTCAGTTTCTATGAATTAATATGGTAGTAAATGCTTTACAAAGGTCTTTTACGAACAATGGGAAAATCTCAAAATACAAAGTGTGACCGACTCAAACTCTTGCCTTCTTTCGCTGATAATTGTCTAACCCGTCAAAATATGGTCATGAAATTTGTACCAGTGGATAGAAAACGACATTCTCTGTCAGATGACACCACGATTGTCTCATTTGGACAATTTTTGGAATTTTTAAGCTGAGATATATAGATCTTATCTGTCGCAGAATACACTTAGCCAAACGTAGGCCTACCTGAATGAAAAAATATTAGAAATTATAAAAGTTTTTCTTATCCAAGGGTGCCGGAAGCGCGCCACCAGGGGTCAACTTAATGCTCCATTGTGTGCCCCTATCATGCTGATACCGCACTGCTATGGAATTCCATATATGCCGTCGTGCGTCGCCCGTCGTGCGTCGTCCGTCGTGCGTCGTGCGTCGCCCGTCGTGCGTCGCCCGTCGTGCGTCGCCCGTCGTGCGCCGTCCGTCGTGCGTCGCCCGTCGTGCGTCGCCCGTCGTGCGTCGCCCGTGTTTTTTTTTGTCACGATTGTGCAGTGGTATTTTAACTTTGACCCTTGATCGTTTCACATGTACATGTTCTTGTTCGATCGATCCACCATGCCCGACTCTCATTTTAGCAAAAGAACTAGAAGATATACATGTAGGCCTATTCGTTTTTGCAGTTGCGCCAAACTCCAATGAAAGAAGAAATAATATCCTGACATCAGCTAAGTAACGTGTATATGATATAACACCATTTTGGTTACATAAATAAATCAACAAAATAGACTTTTGTTGCGGTGGATTGTTTTTCTCGATAACTCAATTACTCTAGACGTAACTTTACTCGTTAACAGCCAGACTTTAGGTCTATAGCCTATGTGATATTTCTGTCTGTCCCTG